TCGTGTGTTTATATTTATGGGTTATAAGTAAAATATTTGAAAATATTTGGTTTAAAGTTATATTATATTACAGGGATTTTTAATAATTTTATTAATGATAAAAAAATTAAACATTATATTTATAATGATTTAATATATTATAATAATGTATAAAATAGTTTTAATTTTAATGATTTAAAGTTAATAATATATTTAATTTATTTTTTTAACTTTTTTACATATTTGTATAACATTGCATTTTTATATATTAAGTTTTAACGTTTAAAAATCTTTAACGTTTTAATTATATTAAACTTTATATAAAATATTTAAATATAATAACTTAATATTTTATAATTACGTATAAAATTTTTTTTTATAATAATTTAAAGTTATTATTTAAACTTTTTAACCTTTTTTATATATTTATACGATTTTATATATTAAGTTTTAACGTATGTTACGTATATTTGTTACGGTTAACGTTACGACCGGTGTTATAACCGGTGTTATAACTGGTATTATAATTAATTTTAACCATTTAATATTTTAAAAAGTTTAAAATGTATAAATTAAATCGATAAATTTAATAATAAAGTTAATAATTATTATATAATTAATTATTATTTATTATAAAAACGCGTTAATATTATTATTTTAATGATGTTATTAATGTTATTATTAATGTTATTGTTTTAAAACGTTAAACGTATAATTTTAATGTGCAAGGTTTTAAATTTACTTTAAATTACAGATTTAATATTGTTTTAAAAAGTTGTTTTAAGTTTTAATTAATTGAAAAGTAATGTGGTTAAAAAAGGTATAACTTTATAAATAATATTAAATTTATGGTTTAAGTTTATTAAAATAAAAAAAAGTAAAGTTTTAATTTATAGTTTTTTATTTTTAAAAGTTAACTTTAACAAAAATAAATTACGAAATATATGATAAAAAATTATTTACAATTGTTAATTTTTTTAATTAATAAAAACATTATTTTAAAAAAGTATAATATTAAATTAAAATATTTTTTAACCATTAAAATTTATTTTATTTTATAATTATTAAAATTTTAAATAAAAAATAAATAAAATAAATGTAATAATTTTTATTATATTAATTTATTATTAATTATTGTTTTAAAAAGTAAAATAAAAAAACCAATATTTTATTTAAATTATTATAATATTAGTTTAAAAAAAAAAAGTTAAATATTAACCGGTTATGTTAATATTATAAAAGAAATATTTTTTATATTTATTTAATTTTAATATAATATATTTAATAATAATTATTTTTATATTAAATTGTTTAAATAATTTTTTAATTTTAAAATGGTTATTTAAATTTATAAAACGAGTTAAAAAATTAAAAAAAAATAATTTATTATATATAAAAAAAAAAAATAATTTAAGCAATGATTTTAAATTATAAAATAATTTTTTATATAAAAAAAAACGTTTGTAAATATTTTAAATATTTTAAAAAAAAGTTATAAAATTAAAATATAATATTTTAATAATAAAATATATAAAAATAAATAAAATTTTGGAATTTATTATATAAAATTTTTAATGGTTTAATATTAAAATTATTGTATAAAATTTTATAAAAAAATATTTAAAATGTTAATATAATAAAATAAACCGATATATTTTATATGGTTTATTTTAATTTATAAAATTATATTATATGTTATAATATATTATTATTATAAATTTTATTATTAATTTATTTTTGTTTAATAATTGCGATTTTATTTAAGTTATGGTTAATTTATTTATTAAAATGGTATATTTTATATTTTTTAAAATAAAAAAAAAAATTGTAAATTTAATTAAAATTTTTGTTAAATTTTATTAAAAATTATATAAAGTTTTTTTAAATATTATTTTTAATTAAAATTTTAAATTTATTATTTATTTATGGTAAAATATTTTTAAATTTATAAATATTAAATTATAAATAAATATAGTTTTTTATTTTTAAATTAACAGTTAAATAAAATAATTTAATTAAATTTTTAAAATTTATTTTTAAGCGTTTATTAATTATAAAATAATTAATTAAAAAAATTTATTATTAACGGTAAAGTTTATATATAATAATTTAAAATTAACGTTATTATATATAATATTGTTTTATATAAATTATAGTTTTTATTTTATAATTTATAATTTATTTATTAGTATTTTTTAAAATTTAAACAGTTAATTATATATATATTAAATAAAGTAAATTTATACCGAAATATAATAATATTTAAAAAAAAGTTATTAATGTATAAAAAATTAAATTAATAAAAGAAAAAAAAAAGTATTAAAGTTTAAAAAAGGTTAATTAATTATATTAAATAGTAAAAATATTAAAATTAAATAATTTATTAAAAAATTAAATAAAAAAATGTTAAATTTTTTTAAAATTTAAAAAGTAATTTTTTTTATTATTATTAAATTTTATTTATTTAAAAATTAAAAAATTTATAATTTATTTTATATTTTATTTATTAAATTTTATTATATTAATAATTAAATATTATTTAATTTTAATTAAATTTTATAAAAAGTAGTTTTAATAAAATTTAAAAAATATTATATAAATAAAGTTAAAAATTTTATATAAGTTTAAAAAAATATAAAATATTTAATTAAATAAAAAAGTTAATTAATTAAAAAATATTAAACTTAAAAATTTTTTAATTATGTTAATGATAAAAACGTTAAATAAATAATTTTAATATTTTATTAATAAAATTTAAAAAAGTTAATAAACTTTTAAATTTTATTAAAAAAAGTTATATTTTTTATTTAAAACTTTAACTTAAAAACAAATTTAAAAAAAAAAAAATAATATTATATAAATAATAATATTAAAAGATTATTAGTTAAAAAAATAATTAATAAAAAATATAAAATAATTATTTTAAAATTTATTAAATAAAAAATATTATAAAACTATATAATTATATATAAATAAAGTTAATATATTAATAAAGATTTAATTAAACTAATAAATATATACCTTAAATTATTTATAAATAAATTAAAATTTCTTTTTGGAAAAAAGGGAAGAACTAAAAACCTTAAGACCCTAGAAAATTATTAGTAATCCTGATTATATTCCAAGCCCTTTACAGCCCTTGTTTTATCTCAGTGAACTCAGACCACAAATTCGAGATCGTTTGTGCGGTTGTACCTCCCCTAGCCACACAACTTTTTAACCAATTAAAACCCCGGCACAACCCCAAAAACAATCTCGAATCTGTGGTCTGAGGCAACTCGGGCGATTTTTGCCACAACATCTTATTTAGTATTAAAAACAACATTAAAAACAATAGCTAAAGTAAGTTTCAATTGATTTGAAACATTTACTAACCTTATCATTAGTAAATACACGCGTTTGCCCGACTTTTTGAGCATTTAAATGCACGCGTTCCGAGCGTTCCGGGGTGATAATTAGCCGTAATACCGGTCGCAACACCGGTCGCAACGTTTTTGGGAATATACCACGTTAAAGCCTATAACATTACAACGCGATGCCGTACGGGCATGCAAAATAGCTAAAAGGCTTAGAAAACCATTATGTTAGCTTTGGATAAAAAAAAAGATATATTGTACGTTGTTGTGGGTATATGTGTGGATGTATGTGTGGGTGTGAGTATTGTTTTGGTATATTATTACGTGTTTTTGGACGTCGAGGCCTGGAATATCACAACGCGATGCTGTACGGATATGCAAAAAAGATAGGAAGGTAGAGAAAGCAAAATACTAGCCCCGAGTCATAAAAATAGAAGCTATTTCGTACGTTGTTGTTGGATATTAAATCATCGTAAATATGAGGTTTAATTTTTAAAAGGACTACCTATAGTTGTGGCCAAACACGCCAGACATGTCTCAGACTAGAATTCGTCAAAACTCGCACCCATGACCCACAGATACAATGACACGGGCCAGGCGTTCTGTGGCGCCTGTGGCGCAATCGGGCGTAAGCCCGATTTTTTCAACGAATTCTAGTCTGAGTTTACTGAGATAACCCTTGTTATACTATGGGAGAAACACCAAAGTGTGTACTGCTATCGGATTGATAATGCACCACAGCTTTGCTTAAGGGAAATACATATCAAAGATATGTAAGGGTTCTTCCTAACATCGAACGAATGTGTTTGTGTATTATTTCATTTGGAATTAGTAGTGTGTTATTTCGCGTTCGATACGAACTTGGTGTATTTGTATTCGAAGTTAAAGAAAACAACTTAAGGTGTCAACCACACTGCGATGATTAGAATGCTTAGGACAAAGATATTATGGTTATGATAGTTAATGGTGATTCAATCCCAGCTAGGTTCGTATTTATTTATACAATAGTGAAGTGGTAGCTGGTGCTCGCAAGGGTAATCTATTAATGCTACGAATATGAAGATATAGGTATTACCTAAGGTAGGTACCTAGGCTAGGTACCTGGTAGATTAGGTAAGCAACCAAGAAGGTTCCGGAGTTACCCACGTGACTAGCTGTACCGTCCCTTTTTTACACTCTATTCCGCACGGACTACTTCGTACCCACAGGCGCAACTACTATTGGTTATCCAACCCGGTAATCTTTAGTGGCTGAAGGTACAAGCGTACCTCTTATCATTCTTTATCTAATTTGAGGCGGTGCGTGCCATTGTGACAAGTGAAATTGCTCTCCCATATTCCGGCCTCCTCTAGATCCTCTCACCTCCAACAACGTCATTCTTTTTTTTCCCCGACAACAGCATTGACACTTGCTAGGTAATCCGACACGCCTATTTGACGATTTACAGCGCTATTGACTGCGCCGAGTCTTCGTCAAAAATCGCAAACCTCACCAGCGACCCTATTAATCCGTCTTGTGGTGCTTTGCCACCGCTGTCGCCTCGCGATCTAACTTGACGCGCAGATCGCTTTCATATTCTTACCCTACAATAGTATCTTTCGCCGACCGTTACCTGTCTACACCTTCCAATAATCTACTTTACACCGAAAATAAAGTTAGCCCAATATGTCTATCGAGGTTGCTATGAATACGCCGCTGGCGGATGCGCTTAACATGGCAATCCAGCCAAAGCTGGTAGAAGTAGGCTGGGCATCAGGTGGCGCCGACGACAGCGCGCTCTCCGAATATATCATTCTGATGCTCGTAAATGGCAAAACTCAGGATCAAATTGCTGCCGAATTAGCTGGCGATCTTCTTAGCCTTGGCCCTGACGACCCTGGCGCACGAGACTTCGCGAAGTGGCTCTTTGATCAGATCGAGTCTTTGAACTCTCAACTGAACGGAGCCCCGGCCCAATTAGGAAACAATGGTGTTGGGGCGCCCCAAAACGCGCCGTCTTCCGCAGAACAGGATGCAGATATGACTATGTCCCTTGATAGTCCCGAGCTGAACGCGTAAGTTCCTACTATTGGATTTTTATCTCCCTATTTATGCCTTTTTAACATGAGCTAACACCAACTAGTCCCACAGGTCCTAGATCTATGAGAAATCCCAATATGCGAGGCAACCGAGAAAAGCGGATGCTTGGACAGATGAGCAAGGCTATGGATCGTAGCCACGACAATGTGTTGCACCGCGTCCGAGGAAATGGCAATGAAAGGATCAACGCCCATCGAGCGCCTCCTACTGGGCCGAGGGGCGGTTTCGGACGCACCAACAATCGTGCAGCGAACAACCGTGCGGCTGGGTTTGCTGCTCATCTAGGTCAAGCTGGTGGAGCCTTGCCGAATATGCACGACCCTAATGGAATGCCTAATCTGAACAATGATATGAATTGGATGATGCCTGGCGGCGGTACTCCGGAGCAATTATTCCAGCTCCTCCAACAGCAGAACCATATGATGGGGCAGATGTATCAGCAACTTACCCAACAGAGCCAGCCTAACGGAAGACCTAACGGAAGGTCGCTTTTCGACCGGGTACAAAATCCGCGAGGTGGTAGGCGAGGAGGCCATGTCAACGGCCACAAATTCCACCAGGGAGATGGGTCTAATGCCAACGAGGCCGGTGCCGACAAGGAAGACGTTGATATGACGCAGGCTAGACGTGAACTGTCTAACCCCGAAACGATGGTTTGCAAGTTCAACTTGTCATGTACCAACAGGGATTGCAAGTTTGCTCATCAGTCTCCGGCGGCACCGCCGAATACCACGGTTGATATCAACGATGTCTGTTCATACGGCGCGGCATGCAAAAACCGGAAATGTGTGGGTCGCCATCCCTCACCGGCAACCAGGCGCGCGCATCAGAATGAACAAGAATGCAAGTTCTACCCTAATTGTACCAACCCGAGCTGTCCTTTCAAGCACCCGGATATGCCCCCCTGCCGGAACGGAGGCGATTGCGCCGTGGAGGGATGCAAGTTCACTCATCTCCAGACCATGTGCAAGTACAAGCCATGTACCAACCGTTTCTGCCCATACAAGCACGACGAAGGACAAAGGGGAACATTCCAGGATAAGGTTTGGACTGCTGATGGGACAAGGGAGCATGTGAGCGAGAGGAAGTTTGTGGACTCGAATGGCCTCGAGGAGCTTCTTGTGCCCGGTGGGGAGACTGGTTCGGGTCAAGAAGCAGCAGCAGCAACTGATACTATCATGTGAAGTTTGACGGAAAAGGGGGAGGTTTCGCGGCGATGGATAGAGTCTACGATGATGCAGCGGAAGTGGAAAGGTTGATGATGAATCAGCATTCTCAATGAGCGAATGAGGGATAGGGGGATAGGGAGATAAGGGGGAAATTCTCAATTCTAGAATTGCTAATTGCTATTGATACAGGCGTTAGGTCGGTGATAGGAAAAGTCAAGGGACTTCAGCACATTACAAATATACCCAAATGCATTTTGTGACTTGATGAATAATATAAAGATTTCTAATTTATCTCGAGTCTATACTTTTATTGTGATGTGACTTGTTTTATAGAGATAGGAACACCTAAGCAATAGGTACATGTACCTAATGTAATACGTAGTACCTTAGGTAGGTACATGTAGGTAGTCTTATGATAGGTATCGGATGTATTTACATGATAAGTGGGGGGGTATTTAACGAGGGCAGCTTCGACTTACGTATGTAGTACTACGTAAGTACGAAGTACATAAGTAATTTCTAAAGCAGCTTGAATTCACCACGCCACTTTGTACATTTCTCCGTAAACTTCAAAATGCGACCTCTAGCACTACGGCCAGCCATATAGCCATATTACGTGTGCAATGACTTCCAAACGCTCAGAAGATGTTGTTGTAAGTCTTCTAAGGTCTGCATACCGCAATGCGCGACATGGCCCTCCTACCCGAATATCGACATCCCCGGCCTCACGACAGCTAAGCTCCCTGGTAGCTCCGAGTAGCCTTCTTCACTCGTCGATTCGAAAGCAGGTTGCTTGCTCTCGGTCTGGGAAGCTCCCTCAAGCTCAAAGCCAGACATTCGCAACAAACGCCAAAGCGCGCAATGGCAAGAAGCGGGAAATCGCCGTTCTTGGTGGCGGCATCACTGGGTTGACTACCGCACACTACTTAGCCCGCCATGCCCAGAACGCACATATCACACTATACGAGGCGTCTAATAAACTCGGTGGATGGATATATGGGGGATTGGTAGAGATAAACAAGGAGACATCTGAGAAAGTTATGTTCCAGTCTGGTCCGCGCATACTTCGGTCGGGGGGTTCGCCTCTCAAGTATGACAGCCTCGTCTTCTATGATGTAGTGGGTACACCTTCACACGACTGGGCCTTTTCGACAAAATAAGAGCTTCGCTAATGGTTAAATCCCCTACTTCAGCTGCTAAATTTGGGCATTGAAGATAAACTTTTAGCTCAAATCGGCCCTCCCCATGCTCGTTATATATATTATCCAGACCACCTAGTCAAGCTACCGACAAATCATCTCACTCCGGAGAACATTATTCATACCATCCAATCCTATCTTACTGAACCCCTCTGGGACGGGGCCTTGAAATCCTTTTTTAACGGTATCCTGTTCCGGGAGAATTTGCCTGATTCCTTGCCTGATTCATTGGTGGATCGAGATGAATCCGTGGGCGAGTTTTTCTGTGGACTTTTCAAAGACGACCGGCTGGTTGATAATATAATATCGGGCATGATGCATGGCATATACGGCGGCGACGTATACAAATTGAGTGTAATGCAGACGATATTCGATTCATTCTGGCGTTCGGTCAAACGTCCAGCAGGTGAGCCTGACATGCCCTTAGTAGAAGCCAAGGAACCAATTCTTCTTCATAGCCTCATGAATAGTCCTAATCGTTCCAAGATCCGGGATTTGGCTAACAAGGCCGGCATAACCACTATGGGGTTTGAAGATGGCCTTCTTACCCTCTCAGACAGCTTAACTAAAGACTTGAAGAATCAGAAAAATGTAACAATCAAGGCCTATACTCAAGTCACTTCTTTGGAACATAAAAATGGCCAAGTATCGGTAGGCTTTCTAGACTCACCCAAGAGTGTTGTAGAAGCACGCTCTGATACTGAACTTCTATAGGTAGCTGCAACGACTACGGCGAACGGAGAAAAGCGGGAACGAACGAGGCAATACGACCAAGTAATCAGCACCATTTTTTCCAAGCATCTTGCCGGACTGGTCAAACCTAAGGATAGTCTCCCCTCGCTGGAAGATACTCACGCCGTAACCATCATGGTCGTCAATCTTTGGTTCCCGAATCCAGATCTGCTCGCAGGCAAGCGCGGCTTCGGCTACCTTGTACCAACCTCGACGCCCGACAACGACGAGTGCTTACTAGGCGTGCTTTTCGATTCGGAAATCAAGATGCGCGAAGAGCGTCCGGGTACGAAGCTCACCGTCATGATGGGCGGCCACTACTGGGACGGCTGGACCCAGTACCCGACGGAGGAAGTGGGACGCGCGATGGCCCTGCAAGCCGTCCAGCGCCATCTCGGCATCCCCGTGGATCAAGAGCCCATCTCCTACGCGAGCCTATGCCGCGAATGTCTGCCACAGCACTACGTCGGGCACCGCGAGCGCATGAGCGCCGCGCACTACGAACTACTCTCCGCCTTCAAGGGCCAACTCACCGTCGCCGGCCCTAGCTACACGAGCATCGGGGTGATGCCAGCCATGCGCGCCGGCTTCGAAGCCGCCATGCGCGTCGCCCGCGGCCACGGCCCCCCCTGGTTCGAGCTTAAGGACGGCGCCGACGACTCGAACCGCCACATCAGGGAGTTCAAACCATTCGCCAACGGTATGCCGGACCACGTCGGCGCTACGGGGCTCGAGGGCTTCACCAAGCCGTATTATAATACTCTAGTCCGCGTGAAGAAATTGCCCCCGCAGGCCTTGCGGGCCTTGCAGGAAAGGATGTCCCAGAAACATGATGACAATTAAATGCGGGGCTGGGCTGGGCTAGGGCCTTGAGATGGATGGATGGATGGATGGATGGATAGATCGATATGCGGATACTATTTGTGCATGAGTGGGATAATTTTAGAAAAGGGGGGCCGGGGGGTGGTAGTGTGTTGTGTGTGCATGGAGAGATAATGATATATTGAGAGATTAGGATACGATACGTGCCTACGGGTTATGACATGAATACTAGCGGTAGCACTATACCATAGCCAATGAGAAAACTCGGTCAAGCGAGGAGTTTGGTCTACATATGTAAAGTACCTAGTTATTTTCTATGTGGTTGTGTACAATTTCTAATTCTACTTCGTAGCTCGAGTTGGATTAATCACTTTAGGCGACGTAGATATAAATACATACCTACCTACGCTTCAAGTCACTTTTACAATTACATGTTACGAACGTCACGGCTTGAAATACGCATCACAAGCCTGAAGATAGAACATTGAGGGAATTGATTTTTCAATCCAGAAGTTTGCTCAATGATAATTCAACCCTACCCCCAACGCCCAAGCTAATGCTATATGTATGTACAATGCCGCACGGCATGGCCCTCGTCCTCTGTCTCTATTAATCTATATGTGTGGGGTATCATTGTACAATTCTATATGTGCCTCCTTTTTTCTTTCTTTTTGTATCGCTGGCAAAAACACGATTCTTACGCTGATCGTCTCCCACGCTGGATGTGTATCTGTGCCTTTATTCTGGCTTTAAGGATGGGCTCATTATGTTGGTGCCCTTTTATCCGCTGTATTATATATGCCCAAGTGTCGTGGCGTTAACAATGAGAGACTGGTGTATTCTCTCATTACCAAGGTAGTGTGGTGTCGTATGGTGCGAGAATAAGGTGACGGTTCTCGATATAATTTAGGTAGGCCGTGTTGTATTGCCAAGAATAGGTATATATTCAGTCCTAAACTCATCCAGAAAAATTGGCCTTTACCAAAAGATCTGGGCGGGAACTCGGAGTATCTTCTCCGGCTTCGTGACGTCGTGGTGATGTGTGGTTATTCGTGGTGTCAGGGTAAGGTAGGTGTGTTCTGTATCGTAAATAGGTCGGTATTAACTCAGGGTATCATACTCTCTTCTCGCTCATAAGGTCAGTGCAAGTATATACTGCAAAGACAAACGATGGTCTGGAATATAGAAATCATTTTCATGCTATGCCGTATATCGAAATAGCTCATCCGGGAAAGTAGGCCCCCCAACCTAAAATCCCGACAAAGATGGCACTCTTCGCTACTGTGGTCGATAGGTATTCCCTCGTGGAATATTGGTAAGTAAAAGTACACACTGCACTGCAGAAAAACAGTCTGAACAGTGATACGTGTTGACGGATGTAGTCAGGGCAGGTACATACTGCAATGACGGACGGTGATGCTAGGCTGCGCTATGACATGGAGCGTCGGGTATTGGTATAGGATGTTTTAGGTATCGAAGTATGCAATAGGTCTATCAGAAAACAGACACCCAAACTAATCATAGGCGAATCGTGTATCGTCGCAGTCTGGGTAAGAGTGTATCGTAATAAGAGAAGGTGTGGTTGTTCGGGAGAAGAGTGGTACTGTGATATGATGTTCGAGTCCATTCGTAGGCCTTTGGAGAATAGAGGCCCCCTAGCCGATGAACCCTACGGAAAATAGCGGATGTGCTTCGTATGCTCGAATGTCATGCTGGGTGTGTGTCTTCATCGTAGGGTCTAAGCAGGTACGTGTTGCAAAGACAAACAATGCTCTTCCGATATATCGGGTATCTCTGATCAATAGGGTCAATACAGGCACGTGCTGTAGAGAAAAAGTTGCTCTTTGAGGTATCAATCCTCTTAGACAATGGTGTCTGCTCAGGTATATGCTGCAGAAGCCAGGAATAAAAAAAAGGGGGTTTGGCATATCGTGTACTATGCCTAAATATTCGTGTCATTGGAAGGGGGTGTTTTTTTTTTTCCTTTTTCTTTTTCCTATTTTTTCTTCTTTTTTCTTGCTAGTTGGAAAGAAGTGAGTTGTCGGATAAGTCGACAACGATACCAACGATGGGACCTATTAAGATCTAATAACAAGGAAATCAACAACGAGACCTAATGACAAGAGCCAATGTCGAGAAATAATGGTGTGTATGCATATCATGCATCGTATGACCTAGCAAAGGCCTTTCTAAGAAGGTAGTCTGCCGCTCAGATGAGTGTGGTGGGCTCGAACTAGGACTGCTGAGTAGCCTCGGATGCTCCAGGTGCCTCAAGTGCTTCAAGTACTTCAGGTGGGTCGATCGGCTTATATTCTTCATCTCCCAAGAGCATACGCTTCTTGCACTGCTCTTCCACGGATTCTTCCTCTTCTTCCACGCCCCATACTCTTTCGACGCGGGCAGCAAGGACTAGCTTCTTGACGCACGAGTTATAGATGAGGCACTCTACCGACTTCTCTGTGATGAAACGGATTATCTCTACTGGCCTCGTCTGTCCGATCCTGTGGGCGCGGTTGGACGCCTGCACATCTTCTTGCGGATTATCCGACTGATCGAAGAGGATGATCTTGTTCGCCGCAGTAAGGTTCAGTCCAGTGCCGCCGGCCACAGTAGTGATGAGGAAAACGGGGATATCTGGGTTGTTCGTGAAGCGCTGAATCTCCGGGAACCGATCTGCCGTATCGGTGGCTCCTGTGATGCAGCAATATGGGATATCTGCGTAGTGTAGGGCCTCTCGTAGGATATCTACTACAATTTCAAAACGGCTAAATACCAATACACGATCTCCGTTCTTCATATAGCCGCGTACAAGTTCTAAGAGCTTTTGAACCTTGGGGCTGTCCTCCCATGATCGATCAGGAACATCAAAATGTCGGATTCGCTTGAAATATTTGCAATCGAGGTGCAGTTGGAAGTCGGTCTTGTCTAAGGCGGTATCTATGAAACGTTTCTTGTAGCGTTCGTCCTTACTCTCGACACCGAGTTCCTTAGCAGGGTAGTGCTTCCACAAGATCTCTACCATCTCCAAGACTATTTTATCGGTAAAATGATGACGGAATAATTGATGATGGATTGCCGCCTTTCGGAGTGACATCCATTGATGTGCATCCTTTTTAGCTTTCTTGACGCCGTTCGGTAGTACGTATTTGCCTTTGATCGAATCATAGATCTCTTTCTGTGTTTCATGCATCCCCACGATTTCAAGGCGCTCCGTCTTAGGAGGTAAAGCGAGGACTTCTTCCTTTCGTCTCTGCAGAATAAATGGAGCCATGACCACACGGGCACGTTCGACACGTTCTGATGCAAGCGCTGCGAAGTTTAGAACATCTTTGCTGGGGACCTTGGCTTCGAAGATTGTATTGAGCGCATTGAATTTGTCCTTGTCGAACATGCCGGGTTCGATAAAACGGAGGATAGTTAGGAGCTCTTTCAGATTGTTCTGTACAGGGGTACCGCTGAGGATAAGGCGCCATTCAGTCGGTACCCGCATCATCTGCTTGTAAATGAGGGTGCTCTGGTTCTTGAGTTTGTGGCCCTCGTCGAATATGGCGGCCTAAACACTAGTTAGTCAAGCTCGTGTACACAAATAGGATGGGTTCACAAACATATGGCTCTATGGCTTGGAGGAACTTAAGATCCTCGCGCTGTCTTTCAATTTGCGGATAGGTTGTTAAGACGACGTGGTGCTGCTTCGCGGTTCTAGGAGAGATCCCTCTACGGCTTGAGCCTGTGTACGCCAACACCGAGACACCAGGAGCAAACGTTTCGAATTCCTTTATCCAGTTCTCGAAGGTACTCGACGGCACAACTATCAGATTCGGCCAAGGCGGCCTGGAATCCGGTTCACGCTCCGACTTGACTAGGTGAGCGATGAATGAGATGACCTGGCAAGTCTTGCCGAGGCCCATGTCGTCAGCGAGAATGCCGCCGTAACTTTTCCTGCGCAGCAAGTCCATCCAGTTGAGCCCAACCATCTGATAGGACTTGAGTTTGATGCTCTCGCCCATCAGCTCGGGCTTCTCTTCGATCGGTAGTCGAGCCAGAGTGGCTGCCTCATCCTTGGACTCGCCATTCTTATCAAGATTCCAGGTGGACATGATACTATTAATCTCTGCTCCTCTTCTATCACACTCGTCGATGACGGCCGTTGCTGCCTCGCATGCCTGTAACCAGGACTTTAGCTTCTCTACGATGTTCTCGCCGACGTTGACCATTCTAATCTTCTTCTTTGATTTGGCCTTGTCTTGTCGCGAGACTTTCTCGGCATCAGCAATAGACTTAAAAGGGCGGGAACTGTTCATCAGCTGGGCGTCCGCTGTAGAACCAATCATGCGGCCCAGATTCTCAACGGTGCAGGTGTTGAGATACTCGAGGACATTAGAGAGATCTTCAACAAGTTCTTCAACAAGTTCGTCGGGGTCAGAGTCCTCGTCAGAGATTTCATAAACCTCATCCTCTTTAAACTCATCACGCTCAAGTTCATCATCAGCCTTACGCTTCTTGGGTGTGTCAACTTTTGTCTTCTTGTTAGGAGGGGTAGGAAGGTCGGAAGCTTTAAGCTCTAATTGATCCGAATCTCTCTTTCGCGATTGAATCTCACTCTTGTCGACCTTAGACTTCTTCATTGGGGGCAGGTCTTCTGCATCCGATTGTCTCTTACGAGATCGAGCAAGTCGGGTTACAGAGGGGAGTGAGTCTGACTCGGAATTTGAATCAGGATCGGGAGTCTTATTGCGACGACCCTGCATGAGTCGGCGACCGCGAGGCATTGCCTTAGACGCGGCCGCCTGAGCAGCGGATGACCCAGTCTTCATACCGAGACTGTTGTCTGGCGATGACTCTCTTGACTGTGTTAGACTAGTAATAGTTGAAGTAGGTGAAGATGATATAGAAAAGATTGCAGATGGTGTTGAAGAATGTTTTCGTCCTTGTACAAGACGTCTGCGATGTGGGTTATTGTTAGATGTATTCGATGCAATTGAATTACTTGAAAGAATTGAGTTGCTCGAACTTTGTGTGCGAGAAAGTTGTACTGAAGTTTGAGAAGAAGACTTGGTTGAATTTGCAGAGGGTGGAAGCTTTTTTAAAAAAGTTTGCAAATTATTTCGAGGGGCATCGGACCCTGAGGTATCTAAAGAGGTTGGGGTCGATTCGAGGTATTCACTATCGTCAGGTGCACGTTTAGTGCTTGCAGTGCTACAGGTGTTGTTGGACAATGCACCTGTAGCTTTCGACAGCGAGAGTGATTTAGTCGGCCTTCCCGTCAATGAATCCACCGCCTTCGAAACTTGCCAGCCGACGTCCTTCTGCAATGCTTCCTTGCAGGCTCGAATGGTAATTCCAGGTACAGCCCTTTGGACGATCTTGTAAACTTGGCCGGTCAGGTGCCGTAATCTGATATCACGAATATCGTTGAGAGAGATGTCTGCATTCTCAAACCACGTAGCTCCTGTTCTCGACACCGGGAACGATGGGTTCTTCGCAAAAGATGAAGGGCGTATATCTCCCCTAGTAGGTGTATCGTCATCTGAGCTATCCTGCTTTTTATAGTCCTCTAATAGATCATCATCAGAGATATCTATATAGTCTCGTCGGCCCATAGGACCGCCAGCTTTCTGTGGTGGTTTCTGCATCGTAGGTGGCCTAAATGACGTTCCCGCTGGCGCCATTAATGATCCTACTCTACTTGCTACGCCAGACTTCTTAATTAGCACATCCGAGGGCTTCGCCTGACTCTCGGCCTGGAATGGAGACGAAGCAGGCACTTCAATAGTCGCACGTGGCGTATCAGGCACTAGAGGAGAGGATGGCAGTTGCGGAGCTCGGTTTACTATTTGAGTAGGTTGAGTAGCTCTGTTAACTATTTGCGTTGGCTGAGTGAAGTATGGCGAGACCCCATCATTAGCAAGCTCGTCGATGTCATCATCGTCATCTATCTCAATATACGCCGCGCTGGAGCTCTGTGCTCGACAGCTGGGCTGGCCTTTCCGACTCAATCCTGGAGTACCAGGGATTGAAGTAGAGCCTTTGCCCGAGATCGACGGAGATGGCCGTCCCATTTTAAAGAATGGATACCTAGAAGCAATAGATCGCACTGGGGAACAGTAATTTCAATGCAGATATCTGGCTTGACGTTGAGATAAATCATAAGAGAGTATAGGTTTGATTGTGTATCGTGAAGGGATGATGATTCTATGAAGAAGAATGGGCAAGTTCAGTTAGGCGAGGGCTCATAACAAGAGCTATATATCGTCAGGATGAACGGTCTTTAGGTGGGCGATACGAGTCTGTAAACTGGAGAAGTTTGGCACAGAGGATATAGGAAAGTATTAAATCAAAATGAAAGCGACTTTTTTTTCTTTTTCGACGGTAAACGCACAGGAGATAAAGTGGGTGCACGCGCCTCGACGCGGTAAATTGTGGATCTAAGAGCACTACCGGCGCGCTATCAGCTGACGGAAAGAACGTTTAATTGATCCCGTACCTGGGCTGTATGCTGACACAAATATTGAACCAAATACATAAGAATGAGAAGGAAGGGTTTAAAGATATAGAGACTCAATTTGTAGAGATATACCTATTCATCGTGGTTTCAGGCTTTGTTTGTCTCAATGGATAAAGGTCAGATCAAAGATACGTAAATTGAAGAACAAGGTACTTACATAGGTACACTGCTCAAAGGTACATTATGGGGCTGGGGGGGTCTATTGACATTATGTCAGCAATGGTGTCAGTATAATTACATAATTACAGGCCCCGATACTATGTCAAGACCATGTTAACAGGTCGATACAATGTCAGCAAGACTTGTTGTACCGATTTCATTGCAGGTACTTACAAGTCAGTACTAATAGATAGTATGTCAAGGTATTTATTATGTCAGAGGTACTGTCTATTTCGCCGTAATTACCAGGCCTGTTGACGATGTCCAGGTAGCCACTATGTCCACAACGATGTCAGGAATTTAACACGATGTCAGAGATTTAATACAATGTCAGATATTCAACATAATGTCAGCCCCGGGTATATACAGGTTAAATAAGGGCCTGAAGTATGCATATATACTGCAATATAGTAAACTTTAATCGTAATTCGTAATGACCTCGTAGTGTAATGGTAAAACACGTAGCCCGTAATCTCGTAATAGTAATTCAACGTAATCCTTTCAATTGACTTTTACATGTGCCTGTGCCTTTGCTGTATATATATAAGTATGTTGAAGGCCTTGTATTAGATTATAAGGCCTTCTATTCTTTTTTTTTTTTTTAAATATTATATTACCTGGCCTGACATTATGTCCTGACTTAACACAGTCTCGTACGTGACATATGTCGATTAGGTGACCGTGACTACCGTTGGTGACGATGTCTAAAAGGCCACTCTTTCCTAATATATCAGTATTTCGAAAGTAATATAATTACGACAAAATATAATCGTGTACGTACGGTAGCTATTTCAGACCTGGTTATCCTTATAATTTGGATACAATCACCCCCGAGGGTGTCTATATTATACGTGCTAGCCAATCAGGTAGGGGACTGATTCTTAAGCGGCGCACCGCCGACATTATGTCCACACCTTATCACTATTGCTGACACTATGTCAATAGACCCCCCCAGCCCCATAATGTATGTACCTATGTATCTTTATACGTCAGGTACGTAGATTCATTAGGTACTTTAGGGTGATATACCTAGGTCAAAGCTCCTTCTGTCAGTTTTTGAATAGTCCAGTATACGTTAGGTACTATGTAGGTACATTGAAGCCCCACTCTTATCCATCAATTGCTTGAGCCTCTTTGATGCCAGGGCCCGTGTCCAGATGAGCCTCAGTACCTACACTGTACAACGAGTTAACGAACCACAATAAGATTGTTGATTTTACAACTAACAATCCTAGCACCAGTCAAGCCACTACCAGTGCTAATTATCAAGTCAACTCCAAGAGAAGCAAGAGGAAACGAAAGACGAAGGACAATGGCTACTCGTCGTATCATTTCCACAGACAAGACCATCCTCGACAAAGATGACGACGGTACCTCCGGACAGGAACAGTCGAGCAGTACCGCGCCAGCCGTCCCGATGTAAGTAGGGAAGTACAGTTCACCGAAGGCTTAACCACTTCATAACATCAACCCTCTTGTCTTCTAGACTTACTTACCCCTTACTCTCCGCTCCCTCTCTACTACGAATGTGAAAATAGCTTAGTCAATCTAACACTGCCAATAGCGGTGTAATTATTAAGTTACTAGCCTTCACCTTCGCCATGGTGGTCATACCAATTGGATCTTATTTCTTAACGGTGAACACCATCTTCAAAGGTAAAGCCGAAACGCCCATATTCCTTCCTCCTCTATTATGATATCCTTCTTTTCTTTTCTTCGCTAGTTTGCAATCACTGCATATTACGTGGCCACGTGACGCATCATCTACCGTATTACTTATTCCAACCGCGCTAACAAGTATGACTAGGAAATTCCACGTACGCGGGAGCCCTCGCAGCTATCATGGCAAACGTTGTCCTTGTAGGCTACGTGATTGTAGCCATGAATGAAGACCAGTCAGAACAGCTGGCAGCCAAGAAGAAAGAGGGAAAGAAGGACTAATCAAAGATATCTATATGGGAAGTTGTTCTCACTGTGGGTTGCTATATTTGGGGGCCTAGACTTATTAACTAGCTGTGTAAATATGCCAGGAAAGTAACGGCGGTCTGTGTATTTCCCAAAACCATATCTCAACCCGGGAAAATCGAAGGAATCATGCCTTAGGTACACATATATGCCTTAGGTTACAAGCATTTAGCACATAGTATGCTAGTATCACTACGAGCGATACTACTTCAGAATTGAAAGCACCTTGGTTCGGAATTCCTCCTTGGTATTATTTCTTCATTACGTGACCTATTTCGTAAATAAGGGATAACGTCTAAAAGAGAGTTCACCATGCCATATTATGAAATTGACATTGAGTCAAATGTGACATTTGTATTCTAGCAGATGGCTTCTGGTAAGCCACTGAGTGCAGTACACCCTTGCCTGTCCGATCCCTTTTCCACATACCACATAGGCCTCGCATATATCCGCCCGTAATGGGGTCATGGAGAATAGGGTCATTAAGGATAGACAATAGACTATGAGACGAGGAAGCTCGCCCGGTCCTCCAAATATTCCTAACATCGTGAACATAACCTTCCACCAACACCAACTCCCCTTTCTGATGCTACCTTATCATATTTCACCAAAGCCTCCTCCCGTGCCCGCAAATGCGACGTTTCAATAGGAAACACCATACCAGATGCTGAATGTCGCAAAACTCGTCCTTATGAACTTCATCTTCGAACCCTGCTCAATATTCAGGGTACGCATATCCGGGTCAATCCATGACCTCTGGTCCATTAATGATCGTCAAAACTGTATCTTCTAGAATTGCATCCCAATCGGGGTTATAACATAAAAAATTATTCATGGGAATGTCGGATGTCGTAGAGACAAGGGGTATCTCAAAGAGGTATTAAGATGTGCGAATAGTTCCATCGCAGAAGCAATATCGACTCGTTCGTTAATAGGCCTAGGCTTTACTAAATCGTTTAAACCAACTCTTTCGCTTCTCCACCTGCGGTCGCTCTTCCGAGTGTCCGCTAGGTATTGTGGCTTTTGAAGGCTTCCTCAATATTCCATTCTCTTTACGTGGATTAGGTGGTGCGAGCCCCAGATTTGGGGCTTGCGTTGCCTGGCCAAAGCTAATTCCATAGTCGTTTACTGGTTCCTGTCGTTTCGGTGGCGAACGGCGATCGATTGAGCTATTATCACTACTAGTGGGATCAGTCTGATATCCTGCCGGTTCGCCCAAACTTCCACTACCGGAACCGGACGCGACCGTCTCATACGAGCGGTGATTGTTCGGCATGGGGTAGACGTTCTTATCGACAACCCCGCGGTGGTTCGCGTACGGATCGGACTGCATTTTCGAATATCTATTTCTCGGACCCGGATTACTATGACTGTACGGAGCGTTTTCATATCCTTCGTGATAGCTTTCTCGGTGATTGATCACGGCCTGTCTGGGATCGTACATCGTACTTTCTGGTCGGAACCCAGAATTCGGTCGACCTCCGTAGTAGCTATCTTGGGGAAAGCGCGGACCGTTGTCTAATGATGTCTTCTGTGAGATGGTGCACATATGATTAGGTGAGGGTGATGGAGAGATGTATTGCTCACTTCCGTAGTGGCTTCCTCGCCTGCTAAAATTCGCTACTGAAGCGGTATCTGATTGGCGGCCATATGCGCCATCAATGGCAGCTTCGAAAGCTCGAATTGTATCAAGAGGCCGTTCCATCCGGCTTCGAGTAGGGTTCGATCGGTCGGGGTCGGCTTAAACGACGGTTAGCATTAGAAATGGATATATAAGACACTATACTGACTAATTGGGTTGCCATAAACATCCTTGTGTTGGAAGGAGCGCAGAGAGGCCGGATTAATACCTCCTTTAGATTGCGCTTCCATAGCTACACTGTAGGTTAGTATACGCCATTAAGTGTTTAAATATATGGCTCAGGCAAGATATGGTAACGCACATGGTTCTAGTTCAGTCATAGCTAGTGTAGGGTCGGTTTTGCCGTGAAGTCGATTGGCTTCCTTCTCGGCTGATGTCTCATGAGAGTTGTTCTTATTATGAGAGTTCGAGCTCCTGTGAGATTTCTCGGACCGAAAACTAAACGCTCTCGACTTCGGTCGGACCCGCTCTGGTTTCTGCGGCTCGGAAGGCTTTGCGGGTACTATTGGCTGCTGCCGTTGCTGCTGCCTTTGATGTTGCTGTTGTTGTTGCTGCTGCTGCTGCTTCTGTTGCTGCTGTTGCTGCTGATAGTAGTGATGTGGAGGAACGGGAGCTTGTTGTTGGTAAGATTCGTCGCGGTATTGCCCTTGCTGCGGCGGCGTTGGCAGAAGGTGATGGCTGTAGCTTGTAGACGCCATTGTTTCGGACGGGCTAAGGCCAAATGTTTTATCGCTCTTGATCCCTGAAAAGGATTGTCCACTGGTGGGGACGGAGAAGATAGAAACGATGGGCAAGTGGATCGGCGCTCGATTGTGATATGCAAGGAAACGATCGTGGAGAGCGCAATCTTGAATTTGACGGTCTTGTCTTATCGCAGACGACGCGAGTGGGCTTAGGAAGGTTCGGGAATAGAGACTGGAATTCTGGGCTGTTGCTCAGCTGCTGTAGGTATGTGTGGGTACTTTACTCTTTTTTTTTTTTTTTTTTTTTTCTCTTTTGCGATAAGAGCAACGACCCTTGCAAGCTCAAAGTGCGGTAACTTGTGCGGGTCTCCCCGGGTATCTGTCAGTCAAAGACTGAGATCTTCAAAGACTTTAATCAACACTGTGCTAGAGAAAATGAAAGCGGCTTGATATCTCGAAAGACTATCGGGGCCCGGAACCTCGGATTTGGTTGTTTTTTCGTCTTATCAGAAATATTGATGCAGGATACTGATCTACAATATGTACGGCGTCTCTGTAATGGCTGTGCGTGGTGTTGTGCGACCTTCGCACTGACAAAGTAGAGTACTGGTATGCAGGATCAGGCGGTGGTTGCTATTTTTTTCTATGCGGGTTGCAAGCTCTTAATGTCAACAGGACTGATGGTGGGCGGTAGGTGATTATTTGTCGTCTCAGAATGGGCCAAATTCAAGGAAATGTGGTTTCGCGTGGCTGGGATACAAAGTCCAGGACAAGGGTAATAATGGCGTTTCTGGGCAGTGCCAGCAATTACGTTGCCTCGCCAGACGCCAGTGACTTGTCCAATAAAATAAGATCAGAACCTGACCGAACAACAACTTGACTACCAACCAAATTCACCCGTTCTTCGACTGTCGTATTGCACACAATACGTATCAACTCCGGCTCCTTGGCGATCTCTTTGTGTGGGCCGGGTATGTACCCGTATGTGGTATTCAAACGGCCAGATGTGGTATGTAAGTGAATCCTCAGTGGCACGACGGAGGTCACTCAACTAAATGACGAGTCGAATGATTGGTTGATTTATTGGATGATTTAAAAGATTGAATTTTATAGATTGAGATCTCCTTTGAATAAGAGAGTTTGCATCCGTGGTACCCGTTGCTGCCGCTGCCGAACTGCAACTGAGTTAGATCAGACGATTATTCTTGCACGGCTTACACGTGCGATTGAGAATGGCGATGAGGATTTAGTGACGTCAATTTGCGATTTCCCGCTCTCATCAATTTTTAAATAATGGGTTGTTTCAGAAACGAACCGCTGACGGTAGGGATTCGCTCTGTCCTTCCGCCAGTTATGCGACCTGGGGAGGAGGAGGAGGGCTGAGAGGAAAATCGAACAGTGGATCGATGGGTTGCTGTCGAGTTGTCACAACTGACGCTTACGAGTTGGCTTGTTAACTTGTCTATTTGTTTCGTAGCTCTGCAAGCCTCGAGTAAGGTAGATCGCCGATTGAATATTGTAGGTATTGTATTAAAATTCACATAAACGTTGGACGACGTACTGGGGTACTCTGCAGAAGCCTTGAAGCCTTGATAAGTGAGTGAATACTAGGTAGATATAAAGCGAGTGTAATAGAGACAACACATCTGCTAGATTGCCATACAGCGAGTGAAAGGCGTAAATGTGTGGTAGAGAAAGAAGTAGTGTAAGTTGAAGTAGGACGGGGAAGAATTGCATTAAACGACCGATCTCGTCCGAGTCTCGCGGAATCTTCCAATACCTGATGTCTTTTTTGATGTGGCCCTATGTAGAAGAGGCAATGATGCATGTCAGCTTGAGTGGCCTGACAAGGGTAGACGAATGTTTCGAGTTCAATTCCCATATATGGTACGTACCTCGTACATCTCGGCCTAGGATAGGTCAGGGTAGGCTATCGATAGCGGAGACAGACTAAACAGGGATAATGGCTGGGCTGATATCATCACTCCACCAACTAGTTCATTCAAAAAGAAGCTACCTTCGCTTCCTGCAACACCTTTGTAGTCTTTGATTTTTATTATCTATTTACACGTAGAAAGCGCTTAAAAGATTTCATCATCTGCCTAACCTGCTACCTATGTAGGTAGATAATAGGATCAACCTCGCCTCACAATATAAAACTCAAGTCAGGGATCTCTTTCGGTACTCGACGTGTTCCAGGCGAAAAGTGGTTTTTTTTTTCCGTCATGACAACCCTCAAGTGCACCATTGGCTGCATTAGGGACCTTTATCACCCATAGAAAGTGTACATGCAGATACGGTTTCTACAGCAGTAACACACCTGCGGTAAATTGTAGCTTATCTGTACCGACATTTCTTTGTCATCAAAAGCGGGAGCGTCTACAAATTCAATCAGTTCCAGTCCCAAATTCCCTAACCAACACATCAGCAACGCTAAAGAGCTTGCAGCAGAAACTTTCATACAAGTTATTCGGTCGAACAACTTATCAGGTATGTACTAATTGTAAGCTCCAGCTTCTGGCCCTGCCGTGATCGACCGATCCTTAACTGTCCTTTGCCTAAAAGCGGAGGTGGGGAAAGGCTGGCACTGCCCCCATTGAGTCGTCACCATGGGGAATACGAATTACCATTACATTCCACCACCTCATTCCTCGTGTAGACGAGAGTAAGAAACTTCGCCCTTACAGGTCTTTTCTAGAAAACGGAAGCCCGGGAATCGCGTCAATGTCCAATGTATTTCAAGCAAATGCTATTTCGATTTTCTCTTTTAATCGACATTTCTTTTCAGAATCCGGAGAATTCACTACATAGCAAACACTTGCTTAACAGATTCGTTGAAAAGATCTCATCATCGAGAAGAAATCTAATAAATATACTAGGGTTATATTTCCGCATTCGGCAATCAAGTAAAACAACGCTGACCAAATTCCATAATATTTTACTATTTTCTATCCTATCCGAGTAGAAGAGCGACAAAGCTGCGGCTAGCTTTAGCGAGACTCGGCCTAGACTCCGGTATGATTACGAATAGATACCATCAACAACTCGTCATCGTTCCTGAACAAGTTTGGTATCATCCATCGCCACGCAGAGATCAGCACAGGGCCAAAAGATATTGCATATTGCATACATATCGCCAAGATGTACCCTGCGGGAATACACTTGTTTTAAGAGTACAACCAGATTAGTCCGTGCCTGAGTGCTTTGCTTGTATGATATGGCCATCTAGGTAAGGAGCTCCTAAAAGGTCGGTATGAAGTTACTTGGAGAGGTCGTATTTGTGTGATTCGTGACACGGCAACGAATATTTAGGTAGCTTAGCACGTCTAGTTAGGTCTAGTCCCCCCTGATAGGCGCTGAGGCGTCGGTGGGTTTAAGTTGGAACCAAACTTAAAAGAGTGCAGCTATCTCCTTCATACTACATGCATGGGGGGTAGCATATGCATCCGTCTCTCCCGAACATTAAATATTTATTTTCCCACGTAGAAATTCCTATGTACCCAACGGACTCGACTCCTACTTATCCTAGCTATCCCATGCATAGCGGGAAGTAAAATACGATCATGGCCATATTCCAACCACGCAGTTGCTTACTTTTGAGGTTAAGGCCCAAAATGCATTTTAAGTGGCTTCCTGAAGATACGAGACCTATTGGGTTCTAGCCCATATATGTTCGTATCGAAAACATGAAGACGCAGGAAAGATTTTCACCTGCGATGTAGGTCTTTCTCGGCCAGTCCTGACTAAGAGGCAACCATAATGCAGCCTGGTCTCTCATTTTTGGAAACACTACCGATAGAGGAAATAATGATGGTGTATTGGCCGCGCGGTAACCCCCCAATGCAACTCTGCACTGACATTTGGCACACACCCACCCATATCGGCTTATCCTCACTGATCCCGTCGAGAGAGAAACGCCCACATGTAAGACAACTGGAAAAGAGATAACCTTCCAGCTGCCCGAAGCTACAAGACGTCCTTTATCACTCCTAGACCGAGGATATTGCAACCCCCGACCACCCGGAAATCAAGGTTTTGCCCGTTCAAGCATATCGTTTTTTTTAGATGACAGACGCACCCAAGGAATAGCCTACTTTCGCCTCCGTATATGTACTAGGGGCCCCTGCCAGTCGGTATGTGCAGTTAATCTTGCAGATGCGAAAGCCGAGTAAGACCGCTCTCCATGTATGCGGCGGCTAAGCGATAAGAAAAGTATATGGTATTCGTTCCACGTGATTGGATGTTGTGGTCTGTGGAACGACCACCGGGCGTTTTATATTGGCTGGCTGCCATATCGTTCCAGTCTCGACCAAGATTATTGCATCACGAGTATGCGTGTTGTTTATTACCTATTATTTGATTGATAACGGGCATCTCGGAATTCCTGGGTTGGATCTGTACCGTCCTGCTGTATGACATGGCAACGATGATCTGCTCATGGTTATTGGAAAATATATAGAGGCACGTAGTCGAACACGATGACATGACCTCCGGAGCTCCGAAGCGAACATATGTTTTTTTCTGGGGAAGATAGATAATTGTCAGTAGGAATCAATCTAGCCTATATATTCGGAATTTGAAGCTCGCGTATACTATACCCTAAGTAGCTTCGCGTCTGGAAAGACGAGTAGCCAGCCTTATACGGCACATACAGTATACCCTTTGGTGAAATACCACACGGCACACAAGATATAGTAGGCTTAAATTCACAATAGGTAAGACCTAACAGTATCAACGGACCAAGTACCAAGCACGCTGTCTTCGAATCAAGAGTATATAACCCTCTTAAAGAAAAATCCCGAAGTATCCCACCGGATATAACTATTCCAAAGCCATAACGCGACACGCTGCCGAATTAGCCATTACCTTACTATACGATCTGTCGTAAAACAAGGTAGGCTCATCGCAAACTCAAACCCTGAACTCCCCACGCGTTTCTTTCCAGGGTAATACCGGAACCGAACTTAGCCAGCCAGAGCCCGCTCCCTTGCGTATGTAAATGTACGAAGATCAGAGGGGGGACGACCCGGGCGTACGTCTACGCCTACCTACAACGAGAGCGTGTAGCCTATTAATAAACTCCGGGCCCGTGGGCGCGGGTGCCTACGTTATTCCGCATATCACGAACGTCAGCTTTCTCGTCCTGACGCCCGCTGCAAGTAGCCTGCCGCAGCTACCCGTGTCGTCCCCGACTTCCACTTGATTCCACTGTCGACGTGTATCGTTCTTTTCCCCTATAGAATTTCAGACTGCTGGCTCATGTACTTAGGATAGCCCTTAGGATAGCCCTTAAGCTCGATAAGTTTGACTAGCCTGGGGTAGATTAGATGGCTCGGGTTCACATATGACGAAAATCCATGTGCAAGCTCCTTATCCTATTGAAGTTAACTATAGGGCCTTTACCCCAGAGCCTCTTAGCCTCACATGTAACCTGTGACTTACGATATCACTTGTCTCACACTGCCATGGCAATGAACCGGCGTGGTCTCGCTTATGTCAGGCTGCCCCATATCTGAGTATAACCTTGATGTCTTGTGCAGGAGTATAGGAACTCGAAATACCTAGACATAGTAAGTCTTAGATAGAAGCTAAGATAGACTCGCGTATTATCCGCTTCGCGAATCTATAACCTTGATTCATCACATTCCCTGAACTGCCCGTGGAAATATGTATGAAGTAACGCATGTATTAGCTATGCCACTGATATTTGACAATCTGATCCATTCCGTGAGTTCAATATCCGATACCGCCCATCCTGAATCATTCTCGATACATCGTCGGTTGATCGCAATACCCGGAGGGAAGTTCAAAAACTATCCTTCCTCTGTCGCGTTCCCGACTCCGGGGGATCGAATATCATGTCCTCGTTAAAAGGAAACCGATGCCAAATCAGCAATTCACAGACGAGACTCCATGCAATTGCAGGAATTCTTTCTTTTTAATTGTTGATGCTAGACGCAAGGCTGGAGCCTGATACCTTGCCTAACCCAGATGCAGCCAATCATGAGAACCGTCCACACTACCAACTCCGGCCCTAACCCATCTTATATCGACGAAGGGTAGAGCATGATACGAACTGAAGCACCGAAAGACTTGGAGGGGAGGGGGGTGGCGAACTTCGCTCGGACGACGCCGGAGTTGCCTGGATGTGGTTATTAGCATGATATCTTCCGGAACGGTAAGGTAGGCAGAATAGACATACCGTGAGGTCGGGTGACCTTGCCCCAGATCACGCGGATCTTGGTTCCTCGGATCTCCTTCTGGCCCTTGTAGACATACGCAACCTTCTTTCCTAGGTAGAAGCTGCGCCAAACATGTTAGGTTCAAGTTGAGGTAGTATTAATAGTTCCTAAACCTACTTGGCGGCGTCGGTGTCATCGACACCCTCGATCTTGATCAAGCTCGTCTTAGGGTGGGTGGTGTGTCGGCTACGTTGGTAGCTTAGGTGACGTCCCCTAAAATACGAATCCCAGTTAGTATTTGCTTCATTCTCCTATGTGTGCCCGATTGAACAATGTCGTCGTGAATTCCTATGAAAAGGCGGTCGGAATGTCGGGGGGAAACTCCGGTCGTTCTCGTAAAGAATTTGGTTCGAGGGTAAATAATTTATAGACTACTCACTTGACGTATACTGCAGGCAAACAAATTAGTATATATTTAATGATTGGATTGTTTCCAAGTAGATTGAAGCCATTAACTTGCGAGGCGCGAAAGGAAGTGGTTTACGCGACCGCGATAATGCCGGATCAACCCCGTAGATAATCATAGTACTTACATCTGTGACCTGCTTCTGAAGGCATCTTGACTGAGTTTTCCACGGCTCTCAGAAATCCGAAATGGTACTGGAATCCGGGAGAAGTCTTTCGCAGAAGAAGACCTTTGTACGCTGGGCGAGTTTCTGTCGTCGAATGTTGTGATGACCAAATCTCAAGGTGGGTTAGGCTTGACGATGGAGGTTGATTGATGGAGATGGATTGGTGCGAAGTGCTAAGCGAAGCCCTGTTGCAACCACAGAAAAAACATTTTTTTGAC